CAGAAAAGTATTTTGTGCAGCATGACACAGAAATCCTCATAAAAAAAGAAGAAAAAAGGTGATTATTTATTTTCCAGCTATGACTGTCCACACTTGTAACCAATACTGGGGGAAAATTAGTGTCTTTACATCCTAAACATATTTAGTTATTTACAATTTTAATCTGTTTCCACACTTATATGCTAAACAGCCGAAAAATCCCACGACTGTTGGTCGCAGCTGAGTCGCTAACGGCTTCACGATCGCATCGGGAAACAAGGAAGTTTTGTTGTTGTTTTTTTTTACAGAATCTGGTTAGATTTTGGGCTGCAAGGTGGTGCAGTGGTTAGCATTGTTGCCTCGCAGGAAGAAGGTCACCGGTTCGCGTCCTGGTCTGGACACCTGGGATCTTTCTGTGTGGAGTTTATATGGTCTTGTGGGTTCTCTCAAGGTTCTCTGGCTTCTTCCAACAAGGTCCAAAAACATGTTGAGGTCAACTGGTGATTCTAAATTGTCTGTAGGTGTGAGAAGTTAAGGGATGGATGGATGGATGGATGGATGGATGGATGGATGGATGGATGGATGGATGGATGGATGGATGGATGGATGGATGGATGGATGGATGGATTTTTTTGAATTACACGTGTGTAATAAAGTGATTTTTGGTGAACAATCAGGAATTTTAGCTCAAATTTGGTTCCATTTTTAGGCAGAATAATACCACAGACGATTTGTTCAAGGACCACCAAACGTTCCTTGTTAATGGTGTAATTTTGTCAGGTTTTGTTGTGGTTTTTGTTTTAGAGACAACATGCCTCTGGGTGATTTTAATATTTCCTCACAGCTGTCTTCAGACGTTGCAACACACTCAAGACTGAGCAGTACAGGAAGTTTTTTTTAATCTCATTCTCAGCATGAAGGAAGAGCAGCTCTGCCATCTCAGGCGTCACAACGGTTTCCTGCCATTTTCGCAAGTTTATTTTCTTGTGTGCGGTTGCCCAAGGAGTCGATTCCTTTCTGCAGTCGAATCTGCTGCTTTTGAAACTTCAATTCACAAAATAATAGGCACACAATATATATGCATGGATGTTATCTTGTGGATTAACGTGGCACCGATAAAGTCTGATGCTTGGTCCAACTTTGTCAGATGAGTTTTACAGAAACATTCGCATTTTTTACTCACTGTAGGTTCATTTTTCTCTGCAATCTCAAGTCTGTCTTATTTTACAAAGTGCAGAAACCTGGAAGTAGCATGTCCAACATTTTCCCAAGTGTCCAAAGCTGTTACCAGCTCTGGAAAAAAAGACGGCTCTATATATGTTTTACTGCTAATTATAATTTGCTGACTACACTTCTGTCCTCTGTGCTCTCTGTAAACACTGCCTGCAGTTCATCCGAGAAGTTCCTGAACTTTAGTCACATCACTGTTGGTCGCACCTGAATCCCTAAAGGCTCCACGGTTGTGTTGAGAAGCTTAAATCTGGTTGGAGCAAATAAAATAAATGTAGTCGAATTTTTCAATGATCCATTTTCAGCTTAGATTCGGTCACGTTTTCAGATGGACTGGAACAGATGATTGGTTCAAGGACGGATGGAAAGTCGTTGTTGTTTTTCTTTTTTTTTCAGTTTCTACCTGATAATTGGTGTAATTTTGGAGACGTGCCTTTCAAACACATCTGTAGGATTTAGGCTCCAAGGGGTTCACATTGATAGCTTCTTTTGGTTAAGCTTCCTGACCGAATAGCACAGATGAGCAGTTCAAGGACCATTGGAAAGCTGAAAATCCGATGATTCCATTTGTTTTCACAGTTTCGTTTTTTTTTTTAAAGACGGCGTACCTTCTAACCCTGCTGTGGCGTTTAGGTTTCAGAGGGTTACAGCTTGTTTTCTTCGTTGGGTTTGTGTTTCTGCTGTTCCTCAGGTATTTGTGATGTATTTTAGAGACCCTCTAAGACATTTCCATTGCGATTATTTTCCAAATTAAATATGTAAACATTGAATCAAACTGTTCCTGCCTCACCGGTCACGTTCCAGTTGCTCATTGCCAGACTCTTTTATTGATCCATGTGTCCCTGCTCCCTGCGTGGACTCTGAGACCCACACCAGATATCAGATCAGCTGATGGGCTCCCTGCCTCCGTGGTGGAGCCCTTTGTACCGGGACCAGTTTGCACGGTCACCTCGAGCGCTGTGCTAACATGCTAATGCAGATGCTAATCCAGGAGCTTAGCTTTTCTGTCAGACACTTTCCCCTGCGAGCGTTGCCCTCCCACCCGGGGAGGATACCAATAACTGACAAATATGTGCGAGTGTGTTGACAAGCACGTGTCCCGACTCGCCTCCTCTGGTCTTCTAAAGTCTCAGCTACCGCGGTTGTACAGTCTGTTGGTAATTACAACAATAAGTGCTGGTGTTGACAGAGGTATTGACTACTTTTCAGGCAGGAAATTACCTTTTTTTTTTGTCATGAATACACATCATACAAAGAGCCATAAAACTCACGGCTACGATTTATTATTAATCCTTTGTGTTTGCTTGTTAGAAGAGTTAAAAGAGAAAACCCTTTTCAGACTATTTAATGTGAGGAGAATCTTCTTAACAATTTAAATCAGTGTTTACAAAAGAGAACATTGTGCCTCTTCTCCTGTAGTTCTGACAAACCCTAGAATAACAGGCAACCCCTTTCATGTGGTCGGTAGAGCTGCCAGAATCTTGCTTCTGGAATCTGATTCAAATTATATACTGGTGAAAATAATCTAACTTTAGCAGCTAGATTTAGCAAAAAAAAAACATGCAGCTACTAACTGGTGGTGAATCTTTCCAGATAATGTCAGTCAGAGATAAATGCATTCATACAAAATATTCTGATTGTTGTTTAAGTTAAAGCACCAATACAAGCATTTAAATGTATTTATTATGAGTAAAGGTTAATAATTTACCGTTGTGCTTTCAGAAAAACAGTCCCTGTGAATGACACTGAATAGTTGGATTGTTTTCTGTAAAGCACGTATGAGCATGAAGCTGCTGCAGGGCCTCCTCCGAGATAAATGTGAGAGGTTGTAAAATATTTCTGTTTGTAAAAAAAAAAAAAAAAGTATAATTTGACCTCTTTTTAACCTCAAGCAGCTATTTAACCCTCTGGACTTCCAGCATTTTTTGGTTTTATTTGCATCCCGTCACATTTTTCCGCTGGGTGGGCTCATTTTTCACTGCGATATAAAGTCCAGCATCGACGTGTTTAACATTTTTCCACCAACACTGGAGTCACTGGTGGCTATAGGCAATATAGATATCTGATTATTTACATTTTCAATCTGTTTTTAATGTGTCTGCAGTTCAGCCGAAGAAGTTTTTCAGTGGTAGTTTCTTGTGGTTCCAGGGTAGCAACAAGTTTTTTACACATCTGGTCGGACCAAACAGTTTGGTTTTGGCCATTTTTTTTTACAACAACACATGTAGAATAAAGTGATTTTGATGAAATATCGCAATTGTAATTTTGATTTGGTCAGTTCAAGGACCGACGTAAACTTGTAAATCTGAAGATTCTCTGTGTTTTCAGCTTCTGGCTCCAATAAATTCTGTTATTTTGGGATTTTTTTTTCAAGCTACCTTGATGGGTTTTGGGGTTAAATGTAGTTTGTTGCTGCATTTACATAACATAGTGCAGCTTTAAAGGAGCTTTAATGGTGCTGGTAGAAGGAAAGTAATACTATTAGCAGTGTGTGTGTGTGTTCATGTTGTGGGGACGTAAATCTGTGTTTGTGGACAAAAAACAAGTTCCTGTAACGCAAATCAATACATTCAAAGGCTGAAGTCTGAGGCCGGTTAGAGTCAGTCTGCTGGGAATGAGCATAAGTCACCGTCCTCTGAAATGATGCAAACTGTGAGAACAGTCGGGACAAATAACGTGGAATAAACTGGTAAAGCCATCAGTTACACAACAGCAGTGGAAAAAACACACACACACATCAGCTGACAGGTTGGGGAACACACACACACACAGCAAGAGAGGTGAGAGAGGGACGTGGAAGCCGGCGGGACGAGAGCTGAAACAGGAGAAGCTGAACCGAATCCAGATCTGATTTGTATTCAGAGACCGAGTCTGTCTGCAGGGAGACATTCCTGCAGGAGGAGAGGGGAGGTGGGGAGGTGGGGAGGTGCAGCGGGGGAGGCGAGGGGAGGTGGAGGAGGAGGAGGAGGAGGAGGGTGACTCCATTATCCAGTCATAATCAGGAGCTGGTCCTCCTGTTTGTGTTTCAGTGAAGGAACATGTGTTTGTTGTTGGTGATGACATCATCGCTCAATCAACGCTGTCGTCAGCAGCAGCGGTGACATCATCGGGAACATGTGGGAGCATGTTGTTGTTGTTGTTGTTGTTGTTGTTGTGCATGTAGAAAAAGTTTTCCATGTTGTAGTTTATTAATACTGCTGTGGTATTTGTATTGTTGTCTTTATTACGGACAGTTCGCTCGTCGTCAGCCGTTGGTTTTATTAAAAAGTTAAAACCTTTAAAAATCAGCTGCCAGCCCTGTTAGACGATACACTGCAGATTTATCTTGACAAACTTCAAGGTGGCGTCCCAGGTGTTGCGGGAGCGCTGGAAGCAGAGCGTCCCTGCACAAGGAGACTGCTGTAATGTGGATAGATGTGGTTTTTCCTTTTTGTACTCACAGTCTTGGAACTTTTCGATCAATCCTCATGTGTAGCTTTTAGAAAAACACAGTTAAAAGATGAGACCAAACGGTTCTGTGGCTGCACCTTTATAAAGCAGAAACTGTACCTGATTTAAATTTGCTGAAAAAAATAATACGTGTGTGTTGTTTGGAAAATTAGGGTTTGATAAAATGTTTATTTAAATTGTTGATGATGGTGTGTTTGCTAGATTATAATTTAATGTGCATGACTGATCTGTCTCTTACTGCAGAATTACACAGTCATGTAAATGACTGTGGAGTAAAAAATGCAAAACTCCTACATCTGAGAACATGACTTGATAAAAAAAAATAATTATGTGAATTAGATGATGTTTGTAATGTTGATCTTTTGTAAATAGAAAACTCATTTGTCCAACAGTATGGTGCCAAAACTCTGCAGATACTGTTTGTTTTTGCACAAATATGATTCTCTAATGAGTTGTAATGATAAGGATTATTCATCGGCAGCAAACAGAAACACATTTACCCTATAATCAGTGTACTTTTAATAATTCTGATGTCCTTTCGTCTGTCTGACCACAGATCTGCCTCCACCGACCACAAAGCACCAGCGGACTCTGCCTTCATGGAGATAAAGCTGAGTGCAGAGTCGACCGAGCAGAGGACGGCGTCCAGATGACGGCAGATGACGTGGTCCAGCTATGCTGACATAACAGCGGCTGATTGGTCAACGACACGTCCCTCCCTCCTCCCTGCCGCCGCCCTCTCGCCGTCCGTCCAGACATGTTGTTGAGAAGGAAGCTGTGCGTTGCCTTGGTGATCGCCACCATCCTCTTCCTCATGCTCGCCAGTCAGAGCATCCAGAGGAGACACTTCCTCCCGCTGTCGTTAGCCCCGCCCAACAGCCATGCCACACCCACCGGCGGGGGCACAGGTGAGGAAAAACACACCTTCAAACATACATTTAAACATGATGCTCAACAGGCCTGACACTGTCTCATAATAAAGAAGATGTGGAAATCGCTTTAGTTTGTGGGGAAATCAAAGTGAAAACAATGTTACTGATTAAACGTTCTCTGTGACACACACCAATAGATTAGTCATTTTTCTAATCTATGTTCTATTAGCTGCAGTACCAGCGGCGTAAGACAAGTTAAATGTATGTAGGTTCCCTTGGCAACAGCTGGTTATCCTGCCGAAACAGCACGGCCTCATTCAGTGGTGTTACAAACGTACAGCTCAACAGGTTTACAGAGAAGACCTTAGGTGAGAATCGGTGCCACTCCAAGAATCATCAGGAGAAAAAAAATGAAAAGGAGACGTTTCTTACAGCCGATTTAAATCCTAAACTGTGAACAGAACCTCCTTCAGCGCAGGTTAGCTGTGCAGCATCAGTTACCATGGTGATCCAGCTGTGCAACATTAGTTACCATGGTGATGTAGCTGTGTAGCTTTAGTTACCATGGTGATCTAGCTGTGGAGCGTTTGTCACCATGGTGATCCGGCTGTCCAGCATCAGTTACCATGGTGATCTCGCTGTGCAGCGTCAGTTACCATGGTGATCCAGCTGTGCAGCGTCTGTCACCATGATGATCCAGCTGTGCAGCATCAGTTACCATGGTGATCTAGCTGTGCAGCATTAGTTACCATGGTAATCTAGCTGTACAGCATTAGTTACCATGGTAATCCAGCTGTGCAGCATCAGTTACCATGGTGATCTGGCTGTGAGGCGTCTGTTACCATGGTGATCTAGCTGTGCAGCATTAGTTACCATGGTAATCTAGCTGTACAGCATTAGTTACCATGGTAATCTAGTTGTGCAGCATCAGTTACTATGGTGATCTAGCGGTACAGCATCAGTTACCATGGTGATCCAGCTGTGCAGCATCAGTTACCATGGTTATCTAGCTGTGCAGCATCAGTTACCATGGTGATCTAGCAGGTTCTTGACACTGAAAACTCTGGCTTTAGGCTCAACATACGTGCTAACACATAAATCTTGTTCAGTCGTACAGCCCTCAGGAATCGTGTTTTTGAACTCGATGCAGTACTATCAGCAGTTCAGTGCAGTAGGTGTAGCTTTACTGTTAGCAGTAGTAGGTGTAATACTTGCAGTAGGATTAGCAATAGCCGCAGCACCAGCAGCAGCAGTGCTTCGATCACAGAGATGCTAATAGTGTTATCACAGCGCTGCTAGTCAGTGTTAGCAGCTGTTGCGTTGTGATGGTGATGCTAACAGTGTTAGCAGCAACAGAAGTAGAGCTAGCGTTAGCCGTAGTCATGTTGTGACTGTATATCAGAGCAGCTGGCAGTTAGCAGAGCTCCCATGATGCATCGCTCTCTGACTCTCAGTCTTGTTCTTTGCAGTGGTCAAAGCCACAGCGCCTCCTGCTGTCCGGACCAATAAGCTGACCCCTCCTCCCATCGCCATTAAGCCTGAGGTCAAGGAGGAGGGAGATAAGGAGGATAAAGAGGAGGAGCCCATAGAGAACTCCCAGTACGACCAGAGGTAACGCACTAAAGGTCATGTACTCTGTATCCCATGATCCCCTGCTCTGCTCCTGTCTGACTCCCGTGTGTCGCCCTCTCTAGGCCGTGCAGTTGTCCCGACTCGTGTGTTTCGGATCTGGACAGGTCGGTCTGGTTCAGCAAGAGATACGACTCCAAGCAGCAGCCCATCCTCCAGGAGGCCAACAACAACTTTGACCAGGCTGCACTCACATGGTGGCTGGTGAGGAACTAGACGAGATGTTTCCATTAACGCTGCTCTTCTCAATAGAAGTGATTTAGAAAAATACATGTCGGCACCATAATTTATCGGTTGGAGGCTAAATGAAAATATTAACAGAGCCTGGTGGCCTCTTATTTTAAAGTTCTTCTTGCTAAATATGAATAAATCTTTGCACCACTGGATGAGTCTAAGATTTACAGGTTGTTGGTGTTAAACAGTTTAAAGCAGTTTGGCTTTTTTGATCTGTTGTTGTTGTTGTTGGGAGTTTATTTGCTCCCGTCACATTTTTCCTCACCGTGGGCTCATTTTGAAGATAAAACAAGGCGACATAGAAGTTAATTATTGTTGAGGGAAAGTCTTTTCTTTGCGATATAAAGTCCTGCACCTCTATGGAAGCAGCACAGCCATGAAGAAGGAGAGAGAACTGACAGGAATCTGAAATTTCAAGGCTTCACAGGTGTATTTTTGTATTTATATTTTTAATTATTTTTACACTTGTCTCCTCTCTGCTCTGCGTAAACACAGCCTGCTGATTTTTTCCCACATGACTGTTGGTTTTTATGGAATTTGGTTCCTGCAAATAGTTTATTTTTGGCAAATTTTGAAACAAGATGTGGAGAATTTTTTTAAAATTTTGATTACGTTTTACAATTTTAAGCTGAAATTTGGTTGAATTTTTCCAACAGAAGGATGAGTAGTTCATGAGAAAGTTGAAAATATGATGATTCCTTGTATTTTTTACATTTTTTTTTTTACAATGTCTGGCTCTGATAAATGGTGCAACTTTGGCAGTTCTTTCAAATGACATGCCTTTTAAATCCAGTGGTGGGTTCAAAGGGTTAATCACTGTAAACTAAATTGCAAATCTGTTAGAATTTTTTAAATCTGTTTATCTGCACAAACCAGTGAAGCAGAGAGAGATTTTATCAGTAGTTTCACTGCAGGTGTCCAAAAACAACTCCATTACTGTTGAACAAAGTATTAAACATGTCTGTCCTGTTAGGACTCATCATGCTGTTGCACAATCAGAGAGGAAACTGCAGATAACCACAAGATTAACTCTGGTTAAACACTTTTATCAGCCACAGAAAGATGTTTTCAAGGCTCCTTTTGCTTTCTTCAGTAGCTGCCTGCAGTTTAAGAGCGATTAGGTCACCTGACAGGAAGTTGCTGCAGGCTGCACTGCACTGATGTGTCAACACTAATAATCCGTAAATCAGCTGAATCACTGGGAAAAGTTTTGTTGGGTTTTTTTTGCAAAGGAAGAACGGAGGATAACGTGTAAAAGTTTGCATGATGTTTTAGTAAACGCGTTGTTTGGGAGAGCTGAAGTGTCTCGTCGTGTCCTTGTGGGTGCTGTCAGCAGTCTGCAGCAGGAGACGGATGTCTGAGTCTTTTTCCTGCATTTATAGATTAAGTCCTGCTGCAGAAACCATTAGTAGATTAAAAGGAGGAGGAGGAGGAGGAGGAGGAGGGGCAGTAATGCTGCTAACATCATCAGTCTGCTCCACAGTGTGCAGTATTTACTCTGTTTGTGTGGAATTAACTGCACGCTGGAGCTACGCTGCAACAGCATGAAGGCTTTCATTGTTCAGTTGTCAGCCAGTGATTTTCTCAATTAATCATTCACAGATTTGCTCAAATTGTCCATCACGCTCTCCCACATTTCTCCTTTTGTCACAGCACAGCCCAGAAATATCCACTTTACTGTCACTGAAGGCCAAGATTAGCACGAATTAATCACCTCTGACAGGCTGGAGGGTTCAGTTTTAGTCAAAATGTGTTCAAACCTGAAAAACAACCTGCAAACAACAGCAGCGTAACACAAAACAGGAGCAAATGCTTTTGTTTTAGCTTCATAGAGCTACTTTAACTTGAAGCAGTTTGTGTTCTTTTTTGCTCCTGCAGCATCATTTTTCTTCACTGTGGCTCTTTTTTTTTTACTGTAATACAAAATCCTGCACCTCAATGGAAACAGAACCAGCATGAAGGAGGAGAGAGAACTCAGAGAAGTCTTCTGTGCAGCGTGACGCAGTTAGAATGACAGAATCAGAAAAGAAAACGCTGGACTTTACTACTAAATAATAATAACTTGAAGCAACAGATGTTTATGTTTTTAATTAATTTCCACACTACACAACTCGGCTGCTCTACATACGATCGGTATTTTCATTTACTAGTTTTTTCTGAGTAGTTTCCGTACTTGTCTCTTCTGTGCAGTTCAGCCAAAAACTTCCTGAATTTTTTTTTTTTTTACAGAATCTAATTAGTGTAAACGGTTAATTTGTTGTGATTTTTTTAATGAGTCATGTAGAGTTTAAAGTGTTTTTTATGAATTAACATGATTTTACGCTTTGACTTTTTAAATTTTTCTGATGAAACCGAAAGTCACACAGTTCAAGTGACCGTTACGAAGCATAAAATCCTTTTTTTATTCAGTTTTTGCACGTTATTGTCGTCATAAATGTTTAGATTTTTATTTTTTAAACAGTTGACGTGTTCTTTAGACCAGCCACAGGTTTTAATATTCACAGGATTAGGAGATATCTCTAATCTGCTCCTCCTCTCCTCAGGCTCTTCAGCGGTCCGGCAACGACCAGACTTTAGAGAAAGTGATGTCGGAGCTGTTCCGGGTCATTTCCCCGCCCACTGGGGACTTCAAGCCCCTCCCCTCAAAATGCCGCAGTTGCGCGGTGGTCGGCAACTCCGGCAACCTGCGGGATTCGGGAAACGGCGACCTGATCGACTCTCACGGCTCCGTGATCCGGTTGGTTTCTCCAAACACTCACAGCATTCGAGGGTTCAGCTTCGTGTAGTTCAGGTGAACTCAGGAGGAGCTGCTTCTCTAATCCTCCTCCTCCTCGTCTTCCTCCTCTCCAGGATGAACAAGGCGGTGACCCGAGGATTCGAGAAGGACGTGGGGAATCGGACGACGTACCACTTCCTGTACCCGGAGAGCGCGGTGGACGTGGCTCCCGGCGTCAGCCTCGTCCTGCTGCCGTTCAAACTGCGAGACCTGGAGTGGCTGACGAGCGCGTTGTCCACCGGCCACATCAAAACGTACGACACAAACATTCAGATGCACCCAAAACCTGCCAGATACACGGGGACACCGAAAAGTACGACAGAAAAAATGTATACAAGACAGGACGAATTGTGCTAAAGACAATTATAACTGCACATGATGCATCTTAACTGAAACTAGATCAACAAAGCTGATATATTTACTACATTCTGTATATATATAAAGCTTTACTGTAAAATAAACTTTCTGGGGAAATTCAGACATTACAGCAGCTCAAAAGACATAAACAGAAGAGGAAGCATGATGAGTAACATACAAATAAAGCAACATAATGAGGACAAAGAATCGAATAAATCATAAGGCCTTTTTACGGTATGTGCACTGTTCACTGTGATGGATAACTGTGGTGTGTAGAATTACACTTTAAAACGTATGAAGAGTAAATAAAAATGATTGCACAGCATGAATGTAATCAATAATGTTGCACAGGATGATGTGCATGTACAGTAAATAATATATAATGTATAAGGGATATACTGTATGTAGAGATATGTAAACAAGCTGATAGATAACTGAGAACTGGTGCAGATTATGTAACAATAATTAGTCAAAAATATAACAGCAGATGCTTAAAGGATAAATCAGTGAGTCTAATGTGTGATAATGTATAATATAATCCATCCATTTATTTTAACAGATTATTATTTCTTTTACATCCACATTAAATCAACACTCAGTTAAGTTAATCAGAAATTGTTTTGATAATCAAATGAGTGTTCAGTAAATTCTGCAGCTTCTTAAATGTGAATATGTTCTGGTTTCTTTCTCCTGTGTGGCAGTAAACTGAATATGTCTGGATAATAAAACAACACATTTGTTATCTTAAGCTTTGGGAAACACTGACGGACGTTTTCTGATATTTTAAAAACCAAACAACTCATAGATTAATCCAGACAATAGTTATTTATAATAAGGGATCTAATCATTAGTTGCAGCCTGAATAAGCAGAAGTATGACTGTATGTTACACGCTGTATGTTCTCCTGTACAACCACTAAGTCAGACTTTGTGTTTTCAGGACCTACATGAGGGTTAAAGATCGAGTGCAGGCCGATAAAGACAAGGTAAATACGCACTTCTACACGTTCTGTCCGCGCCACAGTGTCTGTTGTTATTGCCGCCTCACCAGTATTTTTGTTTTGAGGAAGTTTCAACTTCTGCTCTCGAGTTTCCGGCTATTTTAGATCTGTTCAGTTGTGGTTTAACCCTCTGACCGACAGTTTCTGGGTGTTTTTTGTGCCCCTGTTGCATTTTTTCCTCACTATGGGCTCATTTTTCACTGCAACATAAAGCTCTGCACCTCTATGGAAACAGAACAACCACGAAGGAGGAGAGAGGATTCAGAAACGTCCTCGTCTCCTTCTGTGTAAACACATCCTGCAGTTCAGCCCAGAAGTCCCTGAATGTTTCCCACGTAACTGTTGGCCACAGCTGAGCCACTAATGGCTTCACGGTTGTGTCAAGGAATGCAGAGTTTTTAGCTTTTTATAGAATCTGTTTAAAGCAAACAAGTTTATTTTTTGGGAAACTATTTAAGTACAACATGTAGAATAAAGTGATTTAAGTGAAACATCAGTTTTAAGTTTAGATTTGGTTACGTTTCCTGTCAGAAAGTTCAAAATCCAACGATTCTTCCTGTTTTCTTTTGGGTTTCTTGCTCCTATAAATGGTGAAATTGTGGGTTTCAGAGGGTGAAAACAAGAAGTGACTCCACGTCTCTGAAAGTCCGTATTAGTAGCATAGATTTTATTTTTTTAAAATTTTTTTAGGCTCCGAAACTAGTTTTTATATGTTGTTTGAATATGATACCATGGTAACGCAGCACCTGTGTCTGTGTGTGTGTGTGTGTGTTTGTGCAGGTTCTGGTGGTGAACCCGGAGTTCTTTAAGTACGTTCACGACCGCTGGACCGAGCATCACGGTCGCTACCCGTCCACCGGCATGCTGGCCATCATCTTCGCTCTGCACACCTGTGACAAGGTGAGGGGGAAAGGGGGCGGAGTCTGTGGCTTCGTCCACATTAAGCCTAAAGCTGAGGGCGACCTGCTGGTGCATTCAGGGACACACTTACCACACTCATGTTTTCTGTCTATATCCATGTGTCGTTATTTGATTGTCGGTGTCCTTGAATGAACCACGAGGTAGAAACTCTGTTGGAGCTGCTCAATAAATCGTTTCAACGTCATGTTTTGTGACGACAAATTAACACTTTTTCTGCTGCTTGGTGCAAAAACAAAACCCTCAGTTCTCATATTACAACTTACTATGATTCAAGGCTTCTTGCAGTTTATTTGACCTTTATTTAAAGACACTTGCAGCTCCAACATGAGCAGGAACACAAGAGAAACTCTGAAAGATTTAGCTGCAAAAAAAAACTAATTAGGCCTGTAGGGCTGCACAGTTAATGGAGGATTAATCATGATTTTCGCTTCTGATTGTTAAATGAACATCGTCGACTGTGATGTTGAAAGTTCTTCGATCGTAGAAAACAGTCCATGTAGATAAGCTCACCTGGTTTAAGGTAAATCTGACATTAGAAGTCCTTATTTTAAAACAAAATGTGGTCTAAAATGACTCTGAATTAGTCCAAAATGTCTCAGAACTTGTCCAAAAAGACTTTTAAATTGTCCAAAATATCTTTAAACGTGTCCATAGTAATGAGAAATTCTGCAAAATTAAGTTACTCTGACTTTAGAACTCCCTATTTGACTGTCTGAGCTGCTGCAGTAACTGATGGAGACTAGCAGCTTCTACCAATGACCGTGAGGCGTTTAGGGAACATCTGGAAACTGTAGAGTCTGTTGTTTTTATCCTCCAGGAGATTCAGCTGAAGATTATTCTGAGTTTGACAACATAAACTGGCAGCAGGACTCTGTTGAATTAAATGTCCGACTGAAAGACATTCTATCATCTGTAAATCAATAACTTCTGATCAATAAGCCTGATTATTGCTGTGTGCATCTGGTGCAGCTCAGGTCAGTTTAATGTAAATATTTCAGCTCCATAAAGGAAAATGTCGACATGAAGCAGGTTTTCTGTCTGCAGGTGTTGCTAGTTTAGCTCAGTTAGCATCACGTTGTGTCTGTGTCCAGGTGTCGGTGTTCGGCTACGGTGCCGACCAGCTGGGGAACTGGCATCACTACTGGGAGCAGAACCGCCACGCCGGTGCCTTCAGGAAAACCGGCGTCCACAGCGCCGACTTTGAGACGCAGGTAATCCACCAACTCGCCAAGGAAGGCAAGATCAGCCTACACCTGTGACAAAACCACTGACCTGCTGACGGACTGCAGACGATCCATCTGCTGCCTGATGGACTGACCTACAGACCAGCCGACCGGGACGTCCGAGTCCGGCTGCCGTCTGACACTTAACCAAATCTGAGCCAGTTCTGGACCCTTGTTCTTGGGGATTTGGAGCGCAATCAGACCCCTGTGCTTCTACATCAATCACTATGTCTGTCTTAAGGCAGACATGTAGATATGCTGGATGGAGGATGCTGTTTAGATACCAGGATGACCTGTGGAGGCAGCTGTGGAGCTGAACATACCGTCTGGGATTTCCTCCCTCTGCGTGTTTCAGTTGCTCAACATGAATCAAAGTGTTTTTTGGGACCTCGACCGACCGTCCTGCCGTCTGCGACTGCTGGGATCGACCACAACTAACTTTGCTCTGAGCGGGAAACAACCACAGACTTTTTATATCTTTTGTTTTTATCGGATTTTATAGACATTTTACAGGGATAACCTCTTTATTTTTAATAAAAAGCACTTTGTCCTGAAGAAGAAGTGGTGGGAAGATGCCATATTGTTGCTTCGCTGTCCGACCACATCAGAAGACTTCTTGTATTTTATATCGTTTATAATCCATCCATTTATCCGTCCTGATCGAGATGATCCTGACAGACTGGAATCAGAACTTTTTTTCTGCTCGTCTATTTTTGGAAGCCAACGGCGCTTCCTGTCGACCATATATGGAGAGTGGGAGGAGTCTGTGTCTGGTTCTCAAGTGTTTCCATGATGATTCAACAGTCTGCGCTTGGGATGGGTTAATCGATAATTAGTATTCACTACCTAGGCGATTAAAACGAATTAACCAGTAACGCGGCACCAGATGGAGGCTCTTACGGTTTAAGATGGACGACTGCAGCGTTTCGTTTGTTGTGTTTAGGACTGCAAAATTGTCTTGACTGATAATCTGCAGGGTTATGAAGCGATAACTTGTTAACTGATAACACAAGTTGAGTGCAGTAGACATTGTTCATAAGCCTGTACTGCAAAATAACTATGAGCCAAGACAGCAGCTCAGTTACGTGTTACTGAGCTGGTCTTAAATATCTGGGCTATGAAGCGTCAGAAGTCTTTGTCGTGGTGCCCATTGCTAGCTAAACTACCACAATGCTTTCTGAACTTTTTGCAGTCTGAGTGACCACTTCCTCTGGTTGCTAAAGCATTAAACAGCAACAGGCTCCACCTGCTGTAGCAACCAGGTACTACAACTAATCCACAGCACATTCCCTGAAATATCTTTTATCAGTTAAATTATTAACAGTGAATAATCCTCAACACCTCTAGGAGCGACATAAGGAGATTGGGAAGCAGTGAGCGTTGTGGAGGTTTAGCCGGGGGTTGGGCCACCATGACCAAGACTCCTGTGATGGTTGATGACATCCAACCAGAGTCTAGTAGGGCGGCTTTGGTTTATGGCTGGTGTAACCCAGGATTCATGGAATAACGGCTGCTGTACGTCATTCACATTCATAATTGATCGATTATTGATTAATAATTGTCAACTATCGACTAAGGAAACTTAAAATAGGAACAATTTATTTTACAGGAATCTTGATTTAGTAGGACGTGTGTTTTTTCTAATCAGTTTTCTAGCTGTAGCAGTCGGTAACATTCACAGCGAGCAGTAAAAAGTCAAACTGTGACTCGGTCAGTGGAGCTGCAGACTGTTGAACTTCATGGACAGATGCGACGCCTTCTTCCGAACCACAAACATGAAGGAGACCACGCACGACTTCAACTCAAGATTTATTTTGTAACAAAAACTTAACAAAGTCATACAATCAGTAACATCACCAGTGTGCGCAGTGAACGGACGAGTGGAAGATGCAGTGCAATCGTACTCACAGTCCAACCAAAAAATAACCATTGGAACGGAGAGAGACTGGAAAGTCCAGCAGGTGGCAGCTGGGAGACGACACACCTGTACTGTGAATGTACAAAAAACTGTTGCTGATTGTCAATCACAGTCGTCTGAATGTTAGTGGCTTCGTTTATTCTGAGAGGAGTTTCAGGGCGTTTTCACACCGACTCTGTTTGTACAGTCAGACAGTTGCAGGACTGCTGCATGAAGTGTGTCTTGGCGGCGTGCAGCATGTGTGAGCGGTACCTTCACTGAGTCAGGATGTCGTAGGACGTTGTTATACCAACATCAGGACTGGAGTTAAACATGTTGTTGTGACCACTGACAGCTGGACGTGATCCAACCTTCATATGGAGGATCGTCATGGTGACCAGAGGAGGGTCTACGGCTACAACCAAGAGAACAAACAGCACTGTTCACAGTTTCCTTCAACATTCACCTGGTTGTTGCCGTGAATTCATCCCTCAGAGTCGGACTGTCAACGCAGAGTTCTCCTGTAGCGTCCTGAGGAGTCTGAGGGAGAACATGTGGAGAAAACCACCTTAATTGTGGTGTGATGACATATTGGTGGTCCGTTGCGTCACAGCTCATGATCACAGATGGGTTTTTTTTTACCACAACACCACAACCGTCGCTCTCCACCCGCCCTACTCTCCAGATTTGTCTCTCTGTGGTTACTTCTTCTTCCCCAAAATGAAATTCAAGTTGAACTGTCGCCATTTGGACACAGTTTAGGAGAATCAGCTCATCGCAAATGGTGTTTCATGAACTTACGTACGGGGACTTCCAGGGAGCTTTACAGGTGTTGGAGGAGCACTGGGAGCAGAGTATCGGTGCACAAGGAGGCTGCTTCAACAGGGATGGAGGTTAAATTTACATCAGGCTGTTTTTCCTTCATATAGCCAGAGGCCGCTTTCTGATCACACCTTGTTTGTTTGCTTTTATCTATGTATTTATGCATACGAGCTGCGATCAGAAAGTTCCAAGACTGTGCCAGTAAAAAGCAAAAACTTTACCCGATTTGAATTCAGCCGCCATCCCCATCGAAGTTTCTCCTTGTGCCTTGAAACTCTGCTCCCAGTGCTCCTGCAACACCAGTACCGCCTCCTGGAGTCAACATTACGTAAACCCGTTGAGCTCCTTCCGCGGAGTCGAATCTTGTGAAGTATGTCAAAACGGCGACTCTTCAACTTGAGTTTAGTTTTGGGGAAGATAAAGTCGTCGCAGGGAGACAGATCTGGTGAATAAGGCGGATGGAGAGCGACGGTTGTGTCGTGAGCGTTGTCGTGTTCGGAGCACCCGGTTACCATTTGTGACAGTTTAGGTCCTTCAGATGTTCTCCGTCAGACTCCTCAGGACGTTACGGTAGAAGTCTGCGCTGACAATCCGACTCTGGGGGACGAATTCACGGTGCACAATCATGTGACTCTTGAAGAAAATAGCGAACAGTCCCTGGTGCTTTTGACGCCCTTTCTCCGATCTTAAACACTTTTCGACCGTGAAAGCTGCTGTTTGGTCTCCTGGTGGTAGCTGCCGACCCCCCTCTGGTCACCGGTGATGAATCTCTACAGAGAGGTTCGATCATCCCACGTTGTTGATGTTACAGACTTCAATTAATGCTGCTTCTGTCGGTCGACGGTGAAACTGTAAACCTGCTGAGGTCACAGGAACATGCTCTGACTCGTGGAAGCTGCTGCTGACACCTGCTGCGTCCACACGATGCGCAACATGAACCTAATGAGAAGATTTTGATCACACCTCGTAAGCATCAACCTAAAGCCGTAAACCAGAGTAGGAATGTTTGAGGGACAGGACATAGAAGAAACTGTCAGGATTTTTGTGCTGCAGTTTGACAGTTAGTACCATGGATACAGGCAAATGACAAAACACAGACAGATATTACAGTTTGGGCTTCAAACCGAATTAGAACTCGTCCATCTGCCCAGCTTTTATATCAGCGTTTTTAGTTTTAAAATTCATCATTTATAAAAGTTATCAAGGACGGCAACGAGTATATTTGTTGTGGTTCTCGTTAACAAAATGAACCCTGATGTTTACGTCATGCATAAAGTTTTAAAGGAAGGTTTTTTTTTTAATTTTTTTGAATCTTGGAATTTCATATTTTAGTTTTTTTAAAAGAAGGAAAATAATCTGGCGTTTACCAGCAACCGTTTATCCCTGATCTGCCCCCTAGCAGATGTGCTATTTATTCGTCCACATGCACGCAAAGTACACAAACAGCAGAATCGCAGTTTGACATTTAGTAGAAATCTTATATATCAGCTCTTTAACCTCGCTGCTGTTGTGACGGGCAGCTTGTCGGTTTCTTATCTCAGCCGTTTTCTCTCTGAAAAAGCCACAAACGTGCAGTTTACAACACATTTGACTGAATGTGCTGAGCTGAGATCTTTACTTTCTGAGGGCTGTGCTACGAAGCGAGATTAACGGAACAGGAGCTATGTTGAGCCTGAAGTCTGAGTTTTCAACATCACAAATGTAGCTTTGTTTGAAAACGCTAGATCACCATGGTAACTGATGCTGCACGGCCAGATCACCATGGTAACTGATGCCGCGCAGCTAGATCACCATGGTAACTGATGCTGCACGGCTAGATCGCCATGGTAACTGATGCAGCACAGCTAGATTACCATGGTAACTAATGTTGCACAGCTTCTGTTCAGAGTTTGGGATTTAAATCGGCTGTACGTAGCATCTCTTTTTCGCCAGTTCTTAAAATTGGGAGGTTTAGATTTAGTCGATCCAGCTAACACAAAGAAAACCTGAATATGTTGGACTTGTTTCGTAGGACACCGCTCGGCTTGACTCAGGTGCAGGATCAGTGAAAGTGTTCCTACGAACAGGTTTTTGTTGTCCAGAACCGGACGGACGCGTCAGTGTGAAACCGCCCTGAAGCCGACGTTCAGTGAAGAGCTCAGTCTGCTTCAAACAAACGTCATGTTGTTGGAGTCGCTCACGTTCGTGGGGTTGTTTGTGTAAAGTGGCAGAAGTTGCTGCACTGTTGGGGGGAAAAAAGAGGTTTTCAAACACAACAAGCTGTTTGTTTGAAGCACACTGACGAGCTGTAAATGATCATAAATGCTGTATTATCGTCTGGAGGCTGCTGCTCTGTCACGGGGGTTCGAAACCGCCGACTACACCTGCAGGACCAAAGCGTAGGATACAGGATGCAAAATCTACAATCTGTGCTTTGGACCAGTTGAACTCACTGCGTCCCACAATGCAACGCTGATCTGTAAGGCTTCACAGCAAGTTTGCTGACGTTACACAACTATACAGACTTTTACCACCAAAAGAACTCCTGGCTGGCTTTAGTTTTATATTTTTATGGTAGACGGAGGTACAGTTTTACTTGTAAACGGTAACTTCATCATCGTGACTCACGCTGCTGTGTGAGCAACATGATATGAACTAACCAGCATGTGCTTTAAAAGTCAAGTCTGTCAGCAGCTTTAAAGGAACGGCGCCCAGTTTGATGTTAAAACAAAGAAAGAACAGAACCGTCCTAAACTCTCGATGCATAACCGTGAAGTTGTGCGACAAAACTCCACAGATTCTGCCTCCATTTCTAACATTTATCATCCACATTTTGAACTTCTGCTGGATTTGTGAAGCAGAATTAGAAGCTACACACGAGGCGTGCTGTAGTTTACCTCCAAAACCATAATCAGGCTAAGACTGCCACTGCAGAATAAGACGATTTAACACATTCATAAGAAGACACACCAGTGCTGCCTGCGACTACAGAACACAGCATCAGTACAAGCTGCCTGCTACGTTGGTCAACAGCGTGTAGTCGGCGGGTTCGAACTCTTAAACCCAACTGCTGAGCTGGCAGAAGCTTCGGTTAAATACGAAACATCTGCCGCTGAGTTTAACACTTTGCAGCCTCGTGCAGGAACACTTCCCGCCAGTAAACGAGGTAATTATCTCGTTCTCGAGGAGCTGCGACGCGCCGTAAAAAACCGGAGCCCGGGCGCTAAATGACAGAGCGGCAGCCCCGAGCTGGATTCAACATCTGGGTGAAAGGGTTTGGAAACGAACGCTGTTGTAAACAGATTTGCCTCTTCACACTTAACTTTGTTGTGCCTTTTTAAAATCCAAAGCTGTGCCCGTCAGATGTCCCTGCAGCGTGGAAACGTGGAGTTTGTTTCCCTGCAGGAAGGCGCAGGTCAAACCAGCTGCTCGTGACTCCACCGTAAATAGATTTAGAGCCGAGCGCCGACCAAACCGGACGTGAGTGATGTGCGTTCGGTTATTGTAGCTTTAATTCAGATCATCGTTGACGCTGAGACCCTGTGAGAAGATTTGGATTCCCTTCGCTGTTTGTTTTTATCTGATTCATGAGGACAGCTGGTGTGTTGGTCCGGTTACGAAACACTCTGCAGAGAAGATGTGACACTCGATGCATTTGTTGCTCGTTATTTATATTTATTAACAGCGTCGGCCGTGATGGCGAAGCTGTGGACGCGTTCATGGAAATAATTATCAGACCATCTGCTGTTTTCTTCTCAAAGTCTACAGAACAAACGTCAACGATCAGGATGTTGGAATAATTGCTGCTTATAATTTAAATGATTTAAAATATGTGACCCGATAAGGCAGAAGACGTGTATTATAGATCAGCTGTAGTACCTGATTGTTCCACCAGGTGGAGGATGAGCGATAGCAAACTTGTTGGCAAGCAGAGAGCATTGTGGGAGTTTAGCTAGCATGAGAAAGACTCCTGTGATCAATTAATTGTCCCACATAAGTAATCAGTTACAACTGTTTATGTCACGTGGCGTTTACTGGAAAATATCGTGACGACAACACGGCCATGCGGTAACATCTGGAGTCCTCGTGACTTTGATTATTGATCAATAAAGCTGCCGGTTATCGATCCTGATGCAGCACTGATCATTTACCGAGGCGGTTGAATAGTTAGTTTCTTCTAAAAGACATGAAAAAGTCTCATAATATATAATAAATCAACTCTTTTCATACATTCGGTTTTAAAAATAGGATGTGTTGAAAGTGTAAAAATGTCCAAATCCACACTAGATGGAGTCATTTTGTGCATTAAGCTGCACACGTAAAGTCAACAAATTACAATCTAATTTAATTATCACTTAAAAGCAAAAAGAGGACGATACGTTTAACTTTCTAACCGGTTTGGAATTTGCAAAAAAATCTAATACAACGTAAAGAAGAACCAGAACGGTGCTCCCAGTGGTCCGCTCATCATGTATAAACCCGTCTGTCCAGATGTTGCTGCTCAGAGCTGCACATCAGCCACAGCTTCACCATCGTCAACCTTTAAAATCGTCAGTGAGCCGCAAATGCATCAAGTGTGTTCTGTTAGAACTGG